AAAGTACAACATGAATTCGAGGGCATCGGAGTGCCCCCCCCCCCAAAAAAAAAAACAACAATTTCCCCTAGTACGCCAATCGGTTAAGGTATGTGTTTGTGAAACCGATCGGTTCACTATTGTAATTTATACGTTCGATTCATCTCCATAAGAGAGTTTCAACAGGGTTTTCTCGTTTTACCCCACAATGTCCGTAAAAACAAATAACTGGCAATACGGTTGTTTTTATTTTGTAATGTATGTAACTGTATACCTATACACATTATACACACACGGCAAAACCGAGGCAATTGTGTGTTGCTCGTGTGCTATAGTAGAGGGTGAAGGAAGGCGCTCGCCGCACTGATGTATAGCCTACACAATACCATTATTCAAGAATAATATTTTGTTCGCTTTGCACATAATTGAGGCCTTTTGCTTGGGAAGTTCATACGGCAGAGCATAATATATGATAGGGGTTAAAGAACTATAGGTGTTCTTTCGTAGCCGAGTAGTGTATATAGTATTATAATATTGTAAAGAAAGAAAGAAAGAAGAAAAAAATCCTTCAGAGCAATATTAATTTTAAAAGAAAAAAATATATATTTCAACGTCATACGCACAAATATTGGTGAAAATATTTAACATTGGTTCCGTTCAAAATCATTCCAAACACAATTTTACCAATAGGTTATTTTATGTTTTATATTCTACGCTTGAAAAACAGAGTCACATATGATTGTATTATTTATGCAATTTGTTTACAGATATTTTTCTTAAAATTATAAATGTTTTTAGAAAGTTGTAAAATAGTATACCATACAAGCTAATGACTAAATGGATAAAATTAAAATTAAATCAATGGGTTTGAGATTTTAATTTTCTTTTGTCGTCAGGTTAATATAATAATGATACTTTTTACTTATTTTATATTTACGTAATATATTGCATAAGCCATAAGATATTATTAGCGAAATAACAGTGTTCGGGATAAAATAGAAGGTATAAAGTAAATAAAAATCACATTTCAACTGACTACTCGTATTTCCTAATTCGACATTGTTTCCCTGTTTTTAAACTCATTATTTTGTCTTTGTGTATACACGAAATGCAGCTATCGTAGTACTCATTTTTATACATACTTTAAATAAAAGAACATCATATGTGTTCAAAAAAAAAAATATATATGTATAAAAAAAAGGAAATTAACCTACGTCTTAGTATATTTTTAAGATCATCTTGAAAAAACAGGATTATACTTTATAGAAACGAACGGAAATTGAAAATATAGACAACTTTAAAACCAAAAGGGTGATATGAATAATAAAAAAAAAAAATATTCAACTTGGCTATAATCGTTATGTGTAATAATTACATAATAAAAGGTGGAATTTCTCTATTATATATATTGGGTTACTTAAGGAACAATTTGACAAAAAAAAAATAGAAACTAAATGATTTAAAACCGTTTTTAGTTAGGAAATTCATGAATATTCTTAAGACTAGAAAAATAAAATATCTCCTCTGATAAACATATAAGATTTTAAAAAAATACATGTTAGAACGTTTCCTCGACACTTGTCACTTGATACATAATAATAACAATAATAATATCATATTTGACATATTATTAAAAGTGTGCCAAATGGGTAGAATTTCCCCGAATTGACGGTGTCACTTGGCATAAAGCTATTAAATAAAAAAAAAATTGTACGTTGCAATTTGAGAGCTTAAGTTAATTGATTTAAAAAAACGACTGCTCTTTTGCTCTTTGAGCGGTTATATAATACTATGTTGATTAAGAGTCTCTAGAAATATTTTAGGGTAAATACAGGGTAGCTTTCTGTTACTGCTAGGATCTCTCTAATTTATTACTAGAAGGCGGTCAGTGGTACATGGTGGGGGAGGGAGCTGTCGTTAAGATATCCCTCCCCATTTGAAAATGGTTTAACTTTGGAACGGGGATAGCGCTAACGATAGGGTTTTGGGCACAAAACCAAATTTCCAATTTGGGGGGGGGGGGCACTGGTAATATTATCATACTATTTGAAAACAAACAGCAACATTTTTTTTTATACTTTCACGATATCGTCAAACGATTTTTTGAAAATATTCTATATATTTATGTTTTGGCAAGAAATGTAATGTTTCAAAAAATGTTATTTACAAAATATTGTTTTCAACGTGCCATTTAAATGTATTGGAAATGTTTTACCGTACAGCAACTTTCATTGTAGGTACCTACACAAATAACGCCCGTCGACAAAACAAGCTAACTAAGTAATTAGCAATTGCGGTATAATTACAAACAACTGAACATTAGTAGTATTTGGGGGGCAAAACTTTGAATATCCATTTACGGGGCGTCGTTTAATGTGAATATTATATTATTGTTAAACGTGTATTTGTCACGGGCGTCGGGTTCGCTTTGATTTAATCTTAGTGTATTTTCTAGGTTGTAAGTCATAAGACCGGTGCTCGTTTATAGCTGTGGTAGGTAGCTGATGTACAATGTAAATATACACTCGGCCCTCCTCTGCCATCAGATTAAAATGATGATTGATTAGAATCCTAGGAGATGTGTTGCAAAGCACCGGTTAGCTGTTGTCGTTGTACGCCGGCACTTGATGGTGTCATTAGAGCGGTATGTCCGGAGGCTAAAGACACATTTACGTTAAATACCATATGGCACCGACTTAACGTCCTACCGCGGTCTTCGCCGGTAATGGCAGTACAAGTCAGATTCTGTATTTGGTCGACCACCGCAGTGCGTTCACGGTTGTTTTACTTTAAACATTTTTTTTGTATATTATTGTTTTTTTTTTTCGGCGAGCAAATTCACCTGTAACTTGTAAGACGAGTGTTTTTAAATTATTGATACTCGCCTACGCCCTAAAGTTAAAAAAAAAAATAACAACCAATTGAAATTCGATTATCCAATTAAAAAGCGATGAACAAAATAACACAGTGTTTCGTAACGCCGTTTAAAAAACCTTTTTTGGTTCTACTACTTGATTTACTACAAAAAAAAAAAAACCGGTCGAACCTAATGAACGACCGCCTAGCACGTGTAAAAAAAAATAATGATAAAAAAACGTTAATATTTTCAACGACTGATTGCTTACAAACGTTTGTTTTCCATGTTAGTGTTTGCTTTTTTATTGTTATTTATTTCTTCTCGGACGGTGGACGATGCGACCTACCGTATACTTACAATGTACATAATTTAGGATGATTTAAAACCCACAGTGGTAAAATATCAATTAAACGTAAGACTTCTACGTGTAAACATAGAATTACGCTTCCATAAATTATGTTAGGCCAAATAAAACAACGCCGTTAAACGACACTCGCCTTGTAGCGGTCTCTGGGAGAGTATATTATTTTAAAATGTACATTTTTTTCTTATTTGCTTACAAACAATAATTTTATATTAAATTACACGGAGCGATGACTAATATTTTGGCAATTGAGTATCTGGTTCGAAACCAAAGATCAGACGACAATTTGAAAAAACTTATACTCATATTTTGATATGAAACATAAAGTATAGAAAACAATTTTAGTAATTTAGAAAACTAAAATTAGTGGAAATGCTTTATTATTATAAATTTAATTAAAGAACATAATATTCGTAAATTGTTGTAATTATATTCATAATGAAAAAAGAAAACGGTAAAACATATTGGAACGTAAGAATAATGATAATGAGCTTATAACAACCTACTTAATTAAATTAGTAACACATTTTTGTACACAGATATAATTGGTAAATTTTCCTCCACGTTGTAATTCCATCCGTTGTGTATTTCATTACACTTCAAAGGGTGAAGGCTTACGCTTTTATACCGTTTCAACTTACATTTTTTCGTCTCCTTTTCAAACCCTTAAAAAATGTTTTTGATATAAATCGTATTGTTTCACTTTATAATGATTTTACTCACATCGACTGTACAATATACTATTGTGTAATGCAAGTAACTTTTATCGTTTAATAAAGTACCAACTTTTTTTACTACCCAACGCTAAATTATTGTTGGGTTTTTTTCTCTTTAAACCTAAACCGCGGTGATCTATTTTAATCACCTTGCTTTATTCCTACTCGGCATGTTATCCTATTATAGTTTAATAGTGATGATTTCTGTGAATGAAAATGTAATAATAAAAAAAATGTATAAATCATACAAATAATTTTGTACATAAAGCAAGTACTTGAGAAACTATATTGAAAAACGTGATGATAAAATATATTTTACATTTTTAATTACACGGAACGCCTTCTGGCATTCTAACGTTTACAAAAAAAAAAATTGTTTCAATGGGCGTAAAAACCTTAGTCAAACAATGAATCTACATAAGTCGGTATGACATTTATTGCAGATACTATAAGGCCGTGTTTAATAATATATAATAGTAATAGTATATAAAGTTGTACATAGTAATGTATATAGTAATTATAGTATATAATATTATAGTGTAAGCGTTTTTACTATGTAATCATTTAAAATAACATGTATCTAGTATATTTATGTCACTATAAGCAATACATGTTACTGTGTATTATTAAAAATACACAATTGAATACGTCGAATAATTTATAACCATTTCCATAGACACAGTAAACACCTCACTGTAAAACTAATACTTTTGTGTTTTGCATAAAATTAGTTATTTAGAATTTATTTCGATAGTCTTTCAAAATGATTGTTTTGTAAGTTTTAAATTAATGATTTTGCTTAGTCATAATCAGTTTTTTTTTAAGTTAATTTGCTTAACTTTGTGCACTACCATGTAATATCATATAGAGTATACTAAATTGTATTAACCGATAGACTCTAAAAAAGCAGTGAAGAGGTGTCCAACCAATAGGTAGTAGTAGTAGTAGAGTAACATCGATTGTTTGGACAACCACTATCGATAGTTTTTTGGACCTGAGTCTCTTTGCCGGCATCGCATCCCATCACATGGTCAGTACTCGTTCCGTCGCTTTTATACTCAGTCGTTCGATTATCCGTCCTTTAATTTATTCTACATTTTCGTTCGTATAACAACCTCGCAGGAATATCCTATACTAACAAGGTAAGATTTAGTGATAATAAAAACTGCTCAAATAATATGTATATTACACTCACCGGAGTTAAAGGATTCCTTGAACAGATTAATCGATGCAAAATAAAGTATTTAAAAAAATATTCACATTCAACAAAATTAACTATTTACGCGTATAAATATAAATCATATTTTATATCAATAGTCCTTATTTTATTTTATCGTGAAATTTAAGACTAGAATTTAGGAATTGTATTTTTTTTTATACATCTTATAATAATAATTTTATAATAATTTTTAATAATTATATAAGTTATATTTTCGAATATTTTTTTAGACATATCTTATTAGAAAATAAAAATAACTATACTATTTTCATGTTGAAATATTTAATCAACAGTCGCCAGTTAACGTAAAAAAAAAAAAAAATACCACATATACAATACAATCCTGTATATTTCTGTGGCTTGGAGCGAGAAGGGCCAATGTCAATTTTGTACATAAATGAGTTAGTCCGCTAATTGCAAAAATTGAATCATTCTTTAAATACTGTGAAAAAATCACACTCTGAGGCCAAAAAATGAATTACTCATGAAGAGTTTGATAAAAAAATTAACATAGTGCCTAATTGAAAATAAAAACTTCAAAGCTCATTTTCCGAAAGTTGCAAAAAGTGGCATTGGCCCTTCATGCTCCAAGCCACAGATTTATAGGCAGAAAAATACTTTTTCAAACTATTATAAAATATTGTTGAAGTACTAAGAACTACTACAAGTATTTCGATGTTTACTTAAATATTATGTTTTCTATATTTGAACAATAATCAAACATTTTTTTTGTTTTTGAAAATTGTATCTTAAATTAGAATATTACGTGATTCAAAAACATTAAAAAAATATTAATAAACTTTTAAAACACATTGATGTTTTTTCGCTGTATAGCATTTTACTATCTAAAAAAAAAACTATATTTTCAAAATTGAGTAAAATAGTTGTTAAAAAATTTGTTAGCGGTAAAAGCGGCAAAAGTAATTATATTTCATTATAACAACATAACTTTAAATGTAATTAAATAAATAAATAAAATAATAAATTACTATAATATAATTATAAAAATTATGGTAGTGTGTAATTTTATACTTAATTAAATTATAATTTCAAAAAAACTGCATGCAAAAATACATTATTAGCTTTGAGTTGAAGCTAAAGAAATTTTAAAAAAAGAACATTAAGTGAAAGATATATTGTGCAGTGTACGGTTAACGCTAAGAATTCGTTAGAGATTGAAACCCCGCTTTTTTTTTATAATGCAGCAAGTACTAGGGCCAAAAGTGGTAGAAAAAAAATGACAAAAATGCGTGCAGTGTATGGTTGTGTGGTTTTAAATAAGATAAATAATTAGTATTCCAGTTATAGTTAGTGTACTATATTATTAGCTCATGCTATTCTAGGTTCTGACGTATAAATATATTATAAACGACAGACCGTTACAGAAAATGACAAAACATTTTGGATAGTTGCCGAAAAATCTGAAGTTTAATTTGTATCTCCAAACACGTTGTTGGACAAGTATAGTTGCTTACTTTAGCTAAGGCGTGGGTCTGTGGTTTTGATATCTTGTAATTTTCGTAGATATTCCTAGTATATATAATACGAAACCGAATTGTCCGTATTTGAAGTTTTAACGATTATTACCGTGTTTAAACCGAATTTCCATATAGTCCACATTATTAACTAACGCAGTCGGCACAGAAGAACATTAGAATAATAATTGTTATTTTTTGTCAGCTTTCTATAGACGAGATCGTTTTTTATATGCTTATTTAAAAAAAAATAAAAATAAAATGAAATTCCTACGTGAATGTCAAACCGTTAAACAGGGTATTTAGATTCGAATCCCGGTTTTTTTTTTACATGCATTTTTATCCTTATAGTCCTGAAGATAAACCCTCTTAATGTGTCTGTCGTAGTAGTAAAGATAAAACGTGTTTTTTTATTTTAATCGTCCGTGTCGGTACCACTCGGTGGCTCGTGCTGCCATTTCAAATAAATAAAAAATAAACCATCGCTCTAAAGTTAAAATCGCTCTTTTCTTCCACTCGATTAAGTATTGTTTATTTGTTAATAGTTTGTCGGGTTGACGTCTTGCACACACACACATAACAGTATCGAATATTACAATAATGACCGTATATCAATGCGTTTTGAGTGCCCTGTAAATAGTTTTGGAACGGGTGAATTTGTTTTATATCAATATGCAACCTATTACTATCAAAAACCGTTTGGCGGGACATTCGATTCTGTTGGTCTGAGGACTGGCAATACAAAACGATCTCGGTTTTCGGAATCTGCTGCATTACGCAACTATAGTGTCATTTGATGTCTCCTGCTTATGCTTTGTAGACCCGTCTCTTGTTTCTGATCCAAATCAAATATTAGGTTTCTTCGATAAGTCTGAAATCCGTGAATTGAAATTAATTATTTCGGGAAATTCGAAAGGTCAACCACCCTCCAATCATACGCTCCGATTACAACAGAAGTGTATTACACTGGTTGTGAGTGATTGAGTGACTTTATACAGTTACAGCTTTTTCGACTTCTGAGAATATTTTCTGCAGTTAAACATAATTTATCTATATCGTTTACCGCGAAACAAAGAGTAATGGCAAACATTTGTTTTTACTCCAAACCGAGTTTAGGTTGCAGTTATTAGTTTGGACAAATATAATATACCAGTCGATATCCAGTTTTGATATATAGTGCTCGAGTTAGGCAACCACAAAAAAAAAGCACTCGGCGGCATAATTATTCAGTCTTAAGAATCAAATAAATAAAAAAAAAAATGGTTACAGATGTTTTTGTGTTTGTACTCGATTTAGGAATTATGAAAATTCAAAGGAAATCAAGTTAATTTTAACGCACGAGGGAATGTGTGTTGTGAACTTGTAGTGAAATATATTAAAATTAGCATCGAAAAAATAAAGTTATAAAAAGCCACCAGAGACAATATGTGCAGCCCGCATAGTTGACCGATCACCTTTTATAACATATTTCACGTTCGTGTACGTTTTCGACGTTTTTTTTTTTTTGACGTTTTAAATACATGAAATATTACCATAGAAAATGCACAATGCACATTTCGTGTTAACTGTGTGAAGTTTCCCATATGACAAGCACACCGCCGTAGGATACTTATTAGTTATTCTTGCACGACAATACTATACCTAATGTACATAATAATTTGTATTACAACAATTGATTAGGTGTATATTTTGTATATTACACAACTGTAGTGTCAGCCATTTAATACAATACAGTGAAGGACTTTGTTAATCTTTATCTGAATTGCATATTAAAAAAACAATATATTTATATATATATATATATTGTTTTTTTATAAGTACCAAAAAACAAAGTATGTCAATTTTATGTAGAAGCATAACGCTATCGGGACGAAAGACGTGTGTGTGTGTTAATCAAAACAATGCACACAAAATAAAAGTCGATAAGCGTTAACGTATTAAACGCCAAACGAGTGCACCTCAGTTAAAAAATGTATTGTTAATTGCAGACATTTTGTAGATAATTTTTAAGCGTATTTTATAGTTTCTAACATGAGGGGCAATAAGCATGTGTAAGTTTTGGCAATATCGCAATAAATTAGCGATGCGGATACAGATGCGACGGGGCAAGACGTGGGATGTATAAAGTCAAGAAAAAAAACCTTTAATATAGCGTTCAGCGTATTTAATCAATTGCAATAATATATTGTACACCGGAAGAAAAATTAAATTCTATATACAAAAAATACCAACTAGTCGAAGAGGGCAATGTACGGTATAGATTCGTCTTGACTATCTCGATTCGGCGTTGATGTAAAAATTCAGTTTCTTCATTTGCTAGTCGAATCCGGAGTGCCGTGCCCGCGGGTGGCGCATTTAAAATAATACAAGACTACCAAAGGTTCGCTGAAGTCGTTTTAGGAAATTCAGCGAACAACAGGTGTAACCGCACTGCCCGTATGTCGTTATTGTCCCGGGGGTCGTGCACCCCTCGGGTTTGGGTCAATCGTAACACGGTGTGTGTGTATGTTTAAGTGTATTAAAACAACATGATGGTCGATTGTGTTTGGTACACTTTGAAGTTTTGGTGTCCTGCGACTCCCCACGAGGGCATAGAAAAAACTGTGCATCTTGTACGTGGGCGCATCGTGAAATAACCTACTAAGATACCTCTATGTGTGTATCAACACTTTTATTTCGCGGTAAATTTAATTAATTATACCCGGCGTAAAGGCTTTCAATGGTACACAACGTGTTGTATATATATATATGTCTAGCCTATTATGTGAACTCGATGAGATTTTGGACACGCGAGATACTGTTTCATGTCGAAATCCCATTGGAAAACCGACCGGACCCGAAATTTTGATTTGGAAATAATGCCCACACGGCATATAAATCAACTACCGATTCCGCGCTTTGTGCAGTCTGGACGTGATTAACCGTATTATACGAGTCGCCGGTTCTCTAATCAAATGCATTAATCGCCAGACCCCCCCTTGTTGGAAACTAATACTACTATGTATTATGCTCGTATATGCAATGATGGTCGAAGTGGAAAACAAAGTTACAGTATTGACGTGTGAGCGGAAAACCAAACGCCAAGCAAAATGTACACAAATATAGTTGACTACAATACAGATGAATGACAAAATGCACACAACAATAGTAATATGATTAAAAAATTATTATGCTCATTGGCTGCAGTTAGTTCTCGTCCAACGCAATAATAATTTTTATCTATTGTATTGTAAAAAAATAATAATTATCGTATAGAACTCATTACAAAAAAAAAAAAACAAATATATAAATTATTGTTATGCGGCATTAACGATAAGGCCTTTTCGATGATTAATCTACGCCCGCTGTTCGGTGCACAGTGGAAATGTAGAAATCAATTATTATCACACACCGTCTGTTTACTGCTTGCTCTGATGTTTTGCATAATATAACCGAACCGTACTCGATA